GACCTCCCGCTCGAGTGGGTCGTGCCTGCCACGCCAGCGCCTGCGCCGCGTGGATATCGCCGCGTCGTGGAAGACCTCGCCACCGTGGACTTGTGCAACGCGCTCGAAGGGCATCATTTCCTCGATTACCAATTCCCGCAGCAAAACCAGGGACTCGAAGACCGGTACATCAACCGATAGACCGACACGTCTACCGGTAAGGGTTCCGCCGAACTCTGGATTAGCCGCCGTCAGCGAACAGCGCCGGATAGCCACCAGTTCACGGATAGTTGAATTGCGTGAATTCAGTCTCGTGGTAGGTCCAGGCGGGGACGCCGTCGTCTACGCGATAGTACTGTTCGAACTCTTGTCGCGCTTTGCGGCGCGCTTGGTGCTCACGGTGCACCCTTTGCCAGACGCTGTACAAGAAAAGCAGCAACACAGTTACCACCAGCGAGAAAGCCAAGTAGAGCAGCACGTCGCCGAATGTAATTAACTCGCCGGCCAAGGTGCTTCGTCCGGGTAAGAGTGATCCAGACGCGGACGACAATGATCTGAAGGATAGCAACCCGCCGTGGTGGTGGTGGTCGTGGTGGTGGTGGTCGTGGTGGTGGTGGTGGTCGTGGTGGTGGTGGTGGTGGTGGTGGTGGGGGTGGTGGTGGGGTGTGGTGGTGGTGGTGTGGTCGTACTGGATAGTTTGTTTGCACTCGGCCTGTTTGGAGGTGAGGGCGAGGCAGGCGGCTTTGAGGAGGTTGGTGGGGTCAGTGGTGGAGCCTGCGAAGCGTGCGCCGTTTATACGAGCAGCGGTGACCCCCCAGGCGTTGTTTTCTCGTTGGCTGAGGAGCACGTCTTGGGCGCGGTCGGTGAGGCAGTTGTTCAGGTCTGCCAGTGGCAGGTCGAGTTCTTTGAGAAGTTTTCGTCCGCAGCTAGAGTCGAGAGTGTCGGGTGGCGTGGGTGTGCATTTATCGGCGAAGGCGGTTAGGTAGTTCCAGTAGGCCTCGGAGTAGAAGACGACAGATCCGCCTGGAAGGGAGTCTTTGCCGTTAGGGGGGGGATCTTGGTCGTCGTTAAAGTCCTGGTCGTTGTTAAAATCTGGGTCGTCGGCAACGGGGTCGGCGGGGTCGGCGGGGTGGGCGGGGTCGGCGGGGTCGGCGGGGTCGGCAACGGGGAGTGGTTGGGTGGTGAGTCTGCGTATGCAGAGTTGCAGAAGGTCTTCCTGAAGCGTGTTCGCGTCGGTTGCGCAGAGTTTCGGGTTGCCTTGAAAGCAGTATGTGTGTGAAGCATCTCGGTCAGCAAGGTACAGGTGGCTGTGGAAGTCGAGAGTGCCTCGGAGGGCGGCGACAGCAGGTGCAAGCGTCTGAAGTGTGTGCAGTGAGCCGGTGTGGTCGGGTGAGTACCAAAAGTCTACACGTACGACGTCACGTTGCGGAATGTCCCATTCTAAAGCGACGGTTGGCGGATCAGCCGCATGTCTCAGCAACGCGGCACCATCCTCGCGTGACACGAGTACCGAGGGGATTGTGATGTTCGGGAATGACCCGTCGTCCGACACCACGGCCTGCTGGATATCCTGTCGCGTCCACGTCGAATTCCCATAATCCACAATCACCGCCGCCGCCGCTCCCAACTCCTGTGCTGCCGCCACCTTCTGAGCAAAACTACATACTCCCCTTCGCAGCAAATATATGTCTCCCGCAGCCGCCAGCTTGGACCCGGAAATAGGGGTGGAGGCGGACTCCCTGGACACTCCCTGGATCGAATCCAAGGCTGCCCCGGACTCGCCGTAAAGAGAAACAAGAGCATCTCGGTAGTCAGGCGCGCAACCCGAAGCTTCCACGTACAACAGTCGACCAACCAGAGCCTCACCGTACTCCGGACACCCGAAGGTCGACGTCGACACCGGCACCACCTCACCCTCGGATTGCAACTCCTGTCGCAACGAGTCTGGACTTATGACCCGCAACTGAGCCACCACCAAAAACCACGGCCCTACAAGAGAAACGGTTACCGGGCAGGGGATCAGGTTCAGTGGTAGGGAGGGGCAGGGGATCAGGGGGGTCACCTAGAAAGATGTGGCTTTTCATTTAATGGGCAATAATACTTCCACTGCGCTCGCTGAAGAGCCCTACGAGTCCGTGAGTGAAATCCTGGACCTCGGCGGTGGTGAGTTTTATGTGACTACGCGCGATGACTTGGCGAACCTTAAGGCTCTTGGCGACGTCGAAGAGATCACTGACGCCACGTTCAAACTCAAAGTCGGTCGCCACGCCATGGTCATCGTCGAAGCCAACATCAACCAAATACTCAACGTGAGTGCGGGAAGTGTGTGCACACGTGTGTGTAGGGGGGATACTTATCTGTGGGTGGTATACAAAGACGTTTGACAGGCGGTTGGTCAGCACCGGTGGGAGCAAAGTCTGTCGTTGGGACTACGACGTGTGTACGGGAGTGCCCCGGAGGAGGTGTTGATCTTCACAGTGGCGTCGTACCTTTACCGGGAGACGTCTTCTTCCTCGGCACTGGCGCCAGTGGACGGAGATATCTCCCCCTGTTTCGGAAAGGGCCGCTCCAGCTCGGCTTCCTTCGTCACCCCATTGCCCGCGGAAAGCCGCGCTCGGACCCAGGTCTCGCGGGAGCGCGAGACCGCGCCGCTACCCCCCGCCACGGAAGAGGCAGACGACGCTCTCGACCTCCTCGCTGCCCCCGGTCCCGCTGGGCTCGCTCCCGGGTCCGGACTCGCCGCTGAGGAGCTGGACAAGTTCGTCGACGGCGATCCCGATCACGACCTGGACCTCCACGACCTGGACCTCCACGACCTGGACCTCCACGACCGGGGTAATGACCGGGGTAATGACCGGAACTATGACCAGGCTCAAGACCGGGGCGAGAAGTCTCCCGGCCGGGGCGAGAAGTCTCCCGGCCGGTCGGACGACGTCGAGTACCCCCACCCCCCGTCGCCCGCGAGTCCCTTGGAGAGTCGCCGAGGACCTGCGTCCGAGTGGGAGACTGAGCTGTCTGGGGTTGAGCAGTCAAAGCCCGATGTGTCGAAGGCCGATGTGTTGAAGACCGAGCAATCACGACCGGGGTTGGCACGAGGCGATAAGTTGGGTGAGGAGCAGGAGCCGAGTTCTTCGCAGGAGTACTCCGAAGACCCTGGGCGGTTGGGCGGTTCGTTCAAGGACGGTCGAACTGTTTCTTTTGGCAGGCCGGACGAATGGCGTTCGGGTTCGAGTCCGGAATTGGCGAAAGAGACGGGTGTGAAAGAGACGGTAGGGAGTCAGGAGATACGGCCGGTGTCAAGAGGGCGTGCGAAGAAGCCTAAGCCGTCGACGCCGATCAAGAACACGCCTCTCAAGACCACGCCTCTTAAGACTACACCGGGTGCACGAAAAGCTGCTCCCAAAGAACCCGTGCCGCCCCAGTGGGATCTATACTGTGTTGGTGAAGAGAACAACCCTGCCGCCGTCCCCGGCGAAGGTCGTAACAAGAGAAGAAAGAACACTACGCCACCTCGTAGTTCTCGAAGACCCCGCAAAGTGGAAGGCAATTAGTGGAAACGATAGATAACTTGACCGAGTTGGCTAGCTCGCACCCGATTGAGTCAGCTGCCAAGTCAGATCCAACGACCAAGTTAGCTAGCTAGACAGATCCAATAAACTCGTGGCTTAGTTAGACGGATGCAATTTTAGCTGCTGGCCACGGCCGCGCGTTCGTTACGACCGAAAATAGGCAGTGAGGCTGTAACTTATAAAAAGTACTCGCGTCCCGCCTGGGTCCTGAGAGAGCTCCGGTGCGAGGAGACGGTGGCGAGTTGTGCGGCCAGTCGTGCCGAGGCCAGGCTGGCCCGACCCGACCCGACTCGACGCCTTGGCTGGCGTGGACAAGGTAGACGCAGCGAATAAGAGCAGTCAAAACTAGCTGGGCCGGCCACCCGGTGTGCGTGGTCGCACAGTGTGTCGCGGCCGCACGGGTGTGTGCTAAACTGACAGACGCCGCCACTAACAACCGGCAGCGAAAATAGAATTGGCTTCGGGAGTACAAGAGTAGTCGGGTAGTTGACTCGACCAGAGAGTTCTTAAGGCGGGTTCAAGCGGATCAATCGAGCCATCATCGAGCGGTTCCTCGCGCGGATCAGGATGATGTGCATGATGGATCCGATCACGTGTGATGTAGACAGGTAGTTGCGAGTCGACAAGACTTGGGTCTTCGGTCATGACACAGAGCGCAGCCAATGTAGAAGGGAATACCTCCTCGATCACTTTGATCGCGAGTGGAAGCTGACGTGCATGTGGACCTTCGATGCCGGTGCGCAAGACCATGCGCGACACGTCAACCTCCAATTCCTCCAGTGCCTGCCACAAGCGCCCGAAAACAGCGTAAAAGGCCTCTGTCAAGCCGCCACCCGCCTCCGGGCCGCCTACCTGGGTGTCGCTTGACGCTTGCTGGTGATCGTCCCCCATGCGGTCGGGACGGTCAGCGCCCATGTGATGGTCACCACCTACGTGGTGTTCACCTACGACGTGGCGTTCGCCCACCATGTGACGTTGGGCAGGCCTGACTGTCACGGACTGGACCGGCTGCCCGGATTTGAACCGGCAATCTATCATAGGTAGAAGGCCAGCATGTTGTGCGTGACAGGCGAACCACGCAGCCGAAGTGGCCGCATACGTCACAACTTTACGACTAGGGAGTGAACCAGACTTTGAACCCACGCGTAGACGAAAAGGCAGCTGCCAAGCCACAAGCTCCACGTGTTTAGGCAACGCCGTCAATACACCAACAATAGCGTCCACACCAACTGGCATTTCCTCCTCAGCCGCGAACTCCAAACTCGTCGGCTTCGGCGACAGAATCACAGGTTTGTACAGAGAGTTACTTTCCATTATCCGACTAATCACACTCTAGCAAAAAAGGATGTGTGGAAACCGCACACACCATGCAAGACTTCTGTGATGACACACACGTGTGTGTGGGTGGATCATGTAGTCGTGATGACACACCAGCACTGCGCACGACAGGCCTCAAGGCGCGCCAGGAGGGGGCTTCACGCCCATGCTTGACGCCCCTATTTGTGCGTAGCACCCATGTTAGCTTAGCACCCGCAGTGAGTCACCAGCCGCAGTGGATCCGCCGCCATCGCTAGGGCCCGATCTGTGCTCAGGTTTGGCCCCCTGTGCAGCCTTGGCGCAGGCTTACCATCTTATCTTCGGCTTGATCTTGGGCCACCATTTCGGTTTGATATCGAGGAAAATGGAAGTTGAAAAACCATGGAAAAGCGGCAGGTTCGCGTACGGCAGTTCACGCGAGGCCGTGCCGCGGCACACCCGCAGGGTTCCAACCCGCACGGCCCCAGCGCGTCCCCGCCGGGTGTTTCCCCGCCCAATGTTTCCCCGTCTGGCGCTGCCTCAGGACGTGACCGGAGTGAGGCCGCGACAGACTCGGTCGCGGAAAAGTTGACGACCACGGCGTCATCGTCGGCGCCGTTGTCGGGAATCGAACCGTCGACCGATTGGTGGCGGTTGACGCATGCTGCGTTGGCGGCTTTAGGTTCTGCGGCGTTGGCCAGTACCCAGCGTGTGGTACACCGGGCCGTATTCCTCGGGTGGTACGCGGCGGACACACGGCTACTCGGCTCCTGGTTGACGGTGCGCCACTACCTTGTGTGCTGGACGGTGTATTTTGCCCTCTCCATCTGTGTGCAGGCGGTGCTGGTTCACGCTCTGAACCGTTTGCTACCGATTGATTATCCTCTCCTCCTAGGTGACGGCGGTCTTGACGCGATTGCTGTCCTCGCCCGGAATCGAACTCGTGACCTGCCGGTCGCCACCAACGTCCCGGAAGTGGACGCGGATCCCGAGGAAGACACGGATTACTGTCAATTGCTCACGTTCATCACCACCTTTTGTTGGATAGACAGCTCCATTGCCATATGGCTGTTCAAAAGCAGTCCATACCAATCCACATCATTCGTCACTCTAGGATTTCATGACTTTGCCATTTCGAGCACGGCTAAATGGTTGTCACTGCGCCTCAACCTTGCTTTTCGTGGTGGTCGTAGTTTTCCGCCACCCAGATTACTTGCCGCCCTTCAAGTTGTTGGTGCATTCCTCGTCCTCGGCGCCATCGCTGTGGCACACTACCGTCGTGCCACCCGTCCCTACAAGACCGGCTCACTCGCCCGCACCTGCCGCCTAGTCGCAGCTCAACACTTCCTCCAACACTTCCTCTGGGACCTCAAACAGCGCCTCTGACCGAAGTGATCGGAGAAATCGGGCGGGCGGGCGGACGGGCGATCAGTAATATCGGACCAGTACCGATGCCAACGGACAGGGGCGAGGTTCGAACCGGGGGTTGTGGGGTGTGGGTTTCACCACCTTTTTCGCATGAGATTAGATCAAACACGCTTTGCAGACCCGGTCTGGTGGGACGACCGAGAGGTCGACGAGATTCTCAACACACGGACCAATTTGTTCGGCTATCCGGCGCCGGCTGCGTCTACCCAGATTCTGCAGACGCAAGAAGCCGTCTGTGAATACAGTACAAGCATGCTCGAACAGATCTTTGGAAACGGTCACTACTTTCGACCCTCAGAAGCGTTGGATTGCACCACGGAAGACCCCAGGGAAGACCCAGGAAAAAACTACAGCCCGGTGAAAGGTTCAACGGAAGGTCTAGCGGAAGACTTCGCGGACTACCGGGCGAGTCACGAGCTGACGAGTCACGAATTGACAAGCCACGAGCCACCGAGACGAGGGCCGTCAGACCCGTTTAATGCGGACGAGAGTGGCATCTTCAGCGAGCCCCACACCGCTTCCGATGAGCAGTCGGTCCGGCGGAGCCGCGATCAGGATTCGCACCAGGACCGGGATGGAGAGCGGGCGGGGGATGGCTTGGCGGAACGGGGAGGTGACCCGCCTACGTGGACAGACTCGTTCCTGCAGCCTAGCTTGCTGGGAAACCCGGACCCGTCCAGTCCTCGTGAACCCATGACTCGCTGTCCGCAGGTCGTGGGTTCGAGTCCCGCCGGTCCCCCGTCCGCAAGGGTCAGCGTGGCCTCCGTGGTCTACCTCGCGGGCCCGCCTTCCATCGGATTCTTCAACCCTCGACACGACCACCCCGCCATCCTCTCCTCTGGCTCCTCCTCTGGACCGCCCCGTCCGCTCCCGGGCTCGCCCTACGACACGCACGGCTCGGCCACCACTCCCAGTGGAAAGTCCAGGATGGAATTCAAACCCGGTACCACCCACAGTGAGTCCCACACCCATCCCATGACACGGGCACTGTGTAGCACACACTGACACACCGTGTTGCACACACTGTGGCACACATTGACACACTCGGCACACACAGTGAGGCATCAGGACTTGTGGATGATAGAGAGAGCGGAATGGCGGACGAGGCTTTAGGACGTCCGGGTCAGAGGCGCAGGGTGGGTACGAATTCGTCGCCGGGCCGGTCGTTCCTGTTGAGCAGTCGTGAGAACATTGAATTGGCTTTCGAGGCGCCGTCGGGAACCGGTTCCTCGGCCGGAGGGTTCTCGCCACGTAGTGGGTCCACCCGTCCTAGGAAGTCATCTCCTGAACAATCATCTCCTGAACAGTCATCCTCTCCCGGAGGCTTCTTTCTTGGGTCTCGTCCTGGTGGCGCAAGACCGGAGCGGAATAAGTCCTCCGGACGAGTGTGTTCGCCGTCTTCATCTTGTTGGTGTGATGCCCCGATTTGGGGAGCGTCCTCTTCGGGGCGCAGTTCTGGGCGGTACGGGGACGCCCGTTCCGAGTACTCGGCCGGTGGTCTACTTCGTTGGATTGATGGTGAAGAGTGTGACTGTATTGCCCGCACCTGCTATGACGATTGTCTCGACTGGCTGCTATGGGGCGTTCATGACCAACGACTACGTACATTTCAAATCCGTCGAGATGGAGACGTCGCACTGGGACTTATATCACGCGTCATGGCACTCCACGGGAAGGCGGGTGGGAATACAGCTATGGGTGGAAACACACGTGTGTTCGGAAACACACGCGCGGGCAAAAGTGTGGGCGGACAGAGTGGCGCTATGGCTGGAGGGAGTAGGAGGTCTGGTCGGCGGTTGCCGAAGATGTTGTTGCTGTTATACAAGGACTCATGTTATCTATTTGATAGGGATAGTTCGGTGGTGGAGTTGCGGGAGCGGGAGGCAGCGAACCTGATCCGGACGGGTTCGGTGAGCGGAGGGCCAGCGAAGAAGTACTTCAGTTTCAACCCTGAGAGCGGACGGATGGAGACCAAATACCGTTTCCATTACCACGTGTGGACGGTCGTGTTGGATAGCGTGGAGGAGGCGGAAAATCTCGCGACCTCCACCACCGTGGTTCGAGCCGCGGGGACGACCACAACCATCACCACGACCACCGTTTCCGGCACGTTGCGCGCAGGCGAGACCTGGGCCGCCGGCAAAGGCACGGAAGCGGTTCACTTTCGCGGCCCTGCACCGACACTTGCCCACGGGTCCGTATTGCCTCGTGGGCCCGCCGTCGTCCCTGGACAGCCTTTCAGTAGTTGCCTACCCACATCTAGCCACGTGCCCTCAAGCCATCTACCGTCCCACTACGTACCGTCCAATCGTCCTGTAGGAGTTGGCTCAGAACGTATGATGCGCTCTCTGGCGTCGTTCTGCTCTACGAACAGCCTCTCTAGCGACCCTTCTCCTACAGCCGCTTTGTCGGCCCGATCAAGGAGGCCTGGGTCAGTGTACAGTCGTGTGCACAGGTTAACCAAACACGTGCAGTGCCCTTTGATAGTCATCGGTGATGATCCCAAAGCGGAAGTGGACATGTTGATCAACTTGCCTTCTTTTACTCGCAGTGAGTTCAAGAGCTACCTGAAGACCTGCAAGACGTCCATTAACTCAACCGGCGAGCTACGACGTCTGTTCCTCCAGTTCGGAACCCGCTATGAGTTGTATAGAAACAATGCGGGTCTAGTATATAATGCTCTGTATGAACAGCTGCTGCGCATCATTGATGGATATACTCAGCCCCCCGGCAGCGACTTCGTTCCTGCTCCCGCCGGCGCACCAATTCTCACGCGTTACGGAGACCTGGGCAGGCTGCCCGAAGACTATTTGGTGCGGAAGTTTCTCTTTAACGTTCGTGTCAAGGATGAACTGATTTGGCACAACAATACCTGGATCCCCCTGAAATTATTGGGCTGGGACACTGCCAGTTCCAACCTCCTCAAGATCCTCAATGAAGGCGCCGTTGTCGACATACTCAATGACAATTTCTTCTCCCAATTCTACCAAGCCTTGGCCGGCTATCCTCTCGTCCACCGCGCCAAGCCGCAAACTTTCAGCGGCTGCTATCCAGGGTCAGGCTTACTGCCAAGCTTCCAACCGACCTCAGACTGCTGTCAGATACCCGACAGCCAGTTCCGGTCAATGAATGCGTACATTGCAGCGGAATCTCTGCTTAAAATCCAGAACGGATTTTACAAAAAAGTGTGTGCACACGCTTTTAAATGCGCTTTGTGTCATCGAATTCAAGTCCATCTTTGCTCAGACGTATTTGCGGATGCTACCGCCTTGGGCATTGACTTGGCTACGGTACAGCATGGCTGCGGCGAGACTACGGATGAAGATGATATCTGTCGAACAAAGTCAACGACGGATGCGGTTTTGGACTGTATTTGGGACAGCCAGTTTTTAGTCAACAATCCGATCTTGTTTGACGCCCATTCGGGCGGCCCCAATTCCGGAGTCAATTGGGACGGTCTGACCCAATTAATTGGTCAGCAGTTTCGGCGATCGCGACGGCAGCTACGCTTGCAGTCCGGTGCCTTGCAGTTCCCACGAGGGGCGCGCCCGCGAGAGTCACATCCAAGAAGGCGTTCCTCGCGGCGTTACGAGATCGATGAAGTGGTCGTGGTGCACCAACTGGGCGGCCTGAGTCTGCTCCGGCTTTTCTCTATTTGCGCGCCAGCTTCTCAACGTGTCCCGCGCACCAGTGTCCGCTCCGAGATGACGCTCTACCCGCCTATGTACGTCTGCAGCCACTCTTCGTCTGCCGAGGAGTCCCAGCCATCGCCCGCCAGTAACCGTGCTCTCACCTTGCCCCACGAAATTTGCCTCGACGACTTTTCCAGGAGCATCAGCAACGTCGGAGTCGTCATTGACTCCCAAGGCAGTCCCACGGCCCGCTCTATGGAGGACATCGATTCCGGGAGGGGGGACCACGGAAGAACAAACCCCGGACTGGAAGTCGGTGTCCAGAAAGTGGGGGATCTAAGCGGAGATCTAATGGGAGCCCCGGCTGGATCCCTGACCGAAGATGTCATGAGAGAGATGGTGGGAGACTTGGTGGGAGGGACGAAAAGCTCCCCCCCGGAGACTGAGTGCCCCCCGCCGGCGCGGGAACAGTTGCCCGTGACACGGCCGCGCCTGCAGCCAAGCACCCAGTCGGCCCTGCTTTGGTCGCAAGCCACCTCCGTCCAGGCTCGGACCCGCACGTCAGGTAGTCTGGACCCGCCTCCGGATCCCGACGACGGCAACTCGGACTCCGAGCCCCTGGACTTGACGATTTCCGACGAGTTGGACGATGACTTGGACGACGAGTTTGAGGAGCCGGGCCGTGTCGCGTTCCAGCGCATGTTCGTCGACCGGCCCTCCTGGACCAGCCGGAAGACTACCATTGAGGAGGCTGAAGAGCTTATTTGGACTGACGTGGTGGACGTTTACCATCTCCACCTCGCGCCTTACTGGACCGTCGCGCCCGAGGAAGCCGCGGGGCTGCGCCGCACTCTCGGACGCCAACTCCGTCACGAACTGCACTGTCTGCTTCGCCTCGGCCCCGGCCCCGTTTGTGCTGATGCTCTGCACGATGATGACGTCCTTCATGGCCACTGCGAACTTGACGCCGACGCGGACTGGACTCTCACCCTCGCCAGGCCCTAGTCCTGCGCGAGAGGTGGATCGACACCGAGCCAGGCTTTTTTGGGCAAACCATGACGGAGGCGGACGTCAGCAGTATGTTGCCGGACACTTTCTTGGCACGTGTGCTTGCAGACGAGGGTGTATTGTAGAGGCGCAGGAGTTGGAGGCCGTGGGCGCGGCGTTGTTGGGTCGGATGTATGCGTCGGCGAGTGTGCGCGGAGGCGGTTGGTTTCGCGGCGTACGTTTTCGATGGAACCATTACCGGTATGTGTGGCGCGTGTGTCTGTACTATGGGTTGGTGTGTATATTTTGTTTGGCTCAACTGGCGCCGACTTGGCTGTTCTACTTTTACGCGCGTCGTGTGAAGTGCGTGTCATACGAGCGGTGCGGTTGGTTCAAGAACTACGAGTGTGGGAAGCGCGTGTTCTACACACTCGTCTACCTGTTGCTGGCGCTTTCCTGGATTCTGTTGGTGATCAGCGTCCTGTGTCTGCTGCAGTATTTCACTTTGCGGCTCTTCCTGCATCACAGCCAGCACGACCTGGTCAAGTTCCGTTCCAAGTACAAGGGGTGGCTGAGCAAGATCATTGTGTATGCACCCTGGATCCTCGGTTTCATCAACCTCCTCTGGGTGCTCGTGGTTGCCGTGATCGTGCTAGTCCTACTCATCCACCCGAGCAGTTCGAGCGCCGATGTCACGACGCAGAATCTGGCGCTCGCCCGCACCCGGAATGGCACGGAGCGGTTCTGGAATCCGTCCGGGCTTCTGGCAGGAACGGGCGCGTTGGATGAGCCCGAGCTGGACGACGAGCTGAACCTGTACCGCCGCCGGCGGCTTCCGGAAAAACACCGGGACCGCCTCCTGGGCAGTGTATCAAACTTGATTTACGGCGGCTCAGCAGGTTCATACAAGGGCGGGTGTTCCAAACGTCTGTCCGCGCAAGGTCTGCAAGCCGTTTTGAACTGTCGTATCTACTTCGAGAAGTGCTGTTCCAAGTCTTCCTGTCCGGAGCTGAGTGTGCCGCCACGTGAGAAGTACTCTTGCAACTCGTTGCCCTTTTTGAGCAGCCACGGCTTTCTGGACGAGCCGCTGCCCTACGCGCGCCTGGTGGACGTCTGCGACCTGGTTACGCAGCCGGTCTCCTCCGAAGTCGCGCTCAGTTACTGCGACACCGCACAGTACACCATCGAGGAGTGCTTTATCAGTCACACCGGTTACAGCGACCTGCACAAGTAATCACCACAGTCGCGTCACGACTCCCTCCGGTCCGGTCAGGGTGATGTACTCTTCCGTAGGGTGTACATCATCATCGTCGGATTCAGCGGGTTCGTATTCGTCGTCTCTACGGCACTGCTGCCCATCATCAAGTAGGACGGGAGGATTGGTGTGGTTAGGGACACCACTCCTTTGGTTAGGGACATCACTCCTTTGTTAGGGACATCACTCCTTTGTTAGGGACATCACTCCTTTGTTAGGGACATCACTCCTCTGGTTAGGGACATCACTCCTTTGTTAGGGACATCACTCCTTTGTTAGGGACACCACTCCTTTGTTAGGGACATCACTCCTTTGTTAGGGACATCACTCCTCTGGAGTCCTTTTTCTTCCAAGTGCCGGAGTCTTTCGAGGCGTGGCCGATTCGTTTCATCCGGAAGATGTTTACGCCTTGGAGTTAGGTGGAGTTGGGGG